ATTACATCCCAAAATCTCAGAAAGGCACTTACTTCCTTATGTTTTCAGACAATGCCGACGGCTCTACTCACGGGGAGATACTCTCAAATACCGTTGGCCTTACATTCTTGTATATGCGGTGCCTCAGTTCCAGAGGACATTCTTCACTACACACTATTTTGTCCTATGTATACAGCAGTTAGATCTAAATTTCTTGACAATCTGCTAACAGGACAAAAAATTTCCTCTGACACTGACAAGATGGTCTTTTTATTATCTGACACTGATCCGCTTGTCAGTTATAAAGGGTCTCTTTTTGCCTTGGCCGCCAAAAAAATCAGGGCTAAGACTGCAGCTTCAGAATATTAACCCTTTTATGACTAACTGGATTATTTTAAAATTTTACTGTTTATAACTGGTTCTTATTTATTTCTGTGAAAATTACTTTTAATCGTTGTTTTACCTATGTACGATTAGAATTATTTTCTTTTATTATCCTAATTCTGTATTATGACGGCCTTTGGCTATATGCACAATTAAACTCTGGAATTCACTCCTTTCCACTACATTGGTAGACCTGGCCTCTGGAGCTCTACCCACCCCTTTCCACTATATCTATTTATTTTATTTTATTACATTGCATTCATTAATCACTCAGTCCCCACAACTGTGGAGCTCTAGGCGATGTACAAATTTTAAAACCATAAAAACATATCCAGCATGGTATACTATAATTAAAAGGAAGTGGCAAACATTTTTGCATTTCCCTCCCATATCTGGTCTGTGAGTGCTTCGTAAGCACAGGGAGGGAGCAAACTCCACAAGGAATAGGGATCCAGGTAGGGTGCGCCAGCCATAATGTAAACCGCTGCTGTCCTCAACCAAATCTCTGGCAGAACATCTCTGCTTCACAGGCCCTGCGGAACTGCATAAGATCCCGCAGGGCCCTCATGTTATTTGGCAGTGAGTTCCACCAGATATACACAATACAAGAACTCGTGGGCACTCCATGAAATTGCTGAGCGGTCGGGTTAGAACGGATAAAAGGAAGTCCTTCTTCACCCAAAGAGTGATTAACACTTGGAATTCACTGCCACAGGAAGTGGTGGCAGCTACAAGCATGGACGGCTTCAAGAGGGAATCAGATAAGCATATGGAGCAGAGGTCCATCAGTGGCTATTAGCCACAAGGTATAGATAGGGACTCTGGGGCAAGTGATGCTCTGTCTTCTTGGTGCTTGGGGGGGGGGGTCAACAGTGGGAGGGCTTCTAATGTCCTGGCCCCACTGGTGGACCTCCTGATGGCACCTGGTATTTCTGGCCACTGTGTGACACAGAGTGTTGGACTGGATGGGCCTTTGGCCTGATCCAACATTGGCATCTCTTATGTTCTTATGATCCATCCAAAGTAGGGTGCAGAGGAACATTTATGCAGCCCACAGCCACAAGTGAGGAAGAAGTGCACTCCCAAGTCTCAGGTGCTGGATACTAACAAAAGAAAACGAACAGCACCGTGCATTGACTGTGAACTTTCTGTTGCACCAATAAAACCACGTTTCCCAATTGATCGGGGAACAATTATCTTCGTTTGCGTTTTAATGAAGTGAATTGAATCATTTAACTCATTTGGTAAACATTAACGAAAAGGCTGTTTCTAGGCCTTAGCAGACCCTAGTCCAGTGATGGCGAACCTTTTAGAGACCGAGTGCCCAAACTGCGACCCAAAACCCACTTATTTATCGCAAAGTGCCAACACGGCCATTTAACCTGAATACTGAGGTTTTACTTTAGAAAAAACCACTCATACATTAATTTAAGATGATCCAAACAAAGTAAGGAAAGCAATCCTAAATGCTTTCATTTACTTAAAATTATTTGGCAGAGAATTCGACACTTTAATGATGGTCTGGGCCTGGCTGGGGCGATGGCACGCGTGCCCACAGAGAGGGCTCTGAGTGCCGCCTCTGGCACCCGTGCCGTAGGTTCGCCACCACTGCCCTAGTCTGTCCCAGATTATATTTTTACTGGCCAACTCTTCTGTGAACAGTTACCATTAGAAAAATATTTCTTTATGCCATAGAAAAGCACAAGCACGGACTTGCAAGGATTTGTGTGTGCGCGTGTGTGTGTGGGGGGTATCATTTCCCCCCACCCCACTATTTTTTTACCCTGAAAGCTCCAATAGCCTTTGCCCCTTTCCTCCTCCTCCTTTCCTTCCCACCCACCATCAACCTTTTATCTGCCCCGTTTGAATAATTTATTTATTTACTGCATTTATACATCATTCTCCTCTCCGCCGTTTTATCCTCAAATACCCGTTAGGTAGGTTAGGCTGAGAGGAGGTAACAGGCCCAAGGACACCCAGCTTCCACTGTGAAGTGGGGATTCAGAGGGGGCTGTCAGATCTAGTCTGAAACTTTAACCACTACCAAAGACCAGCAAATATCGTGCTACGAACGATGATAAAATATCTCAAATAATTTTTATATATCAGTCCTCCTTAATTATATCAAAGTGTTAACGTGCTTTTCACTTTGGAGGAAGCTTTGAGCTCACTAAGAGAGCCTTTTGCAGCATTCATTGAAAAATTTGGATAAATATTTTGGTATTTGGCAACCTTGTGCTTGGAAATATCTGTTGGACCTCCCTGAGGAAGACACTGAAACAGGAGGCTATCTGGACCTCTGTTGGAGGAAGACTGAGCACTTTTTCAAAGTAGACTTAAAGGAGTCCTCCCTCTTAAAACGTTTGTATAGTTAAGGAGGACTGATATTAATAAAGGGGTTGTGCAATATCTTTTGTGATATGTTAAGAGACAATAGTTAGATGTTTTGTGTTAAGGCTTATATGATAAATAATATATGGTGAATAAATTGTAAAAGTATAAAACAAGAAATATATAAAAATTATTTGAGATATTTTATAATCGTCTGTAGCATGGTATTTGCTGATTTTTGGAATTTCCTACTTACCATGGGTCCTATTTTGGTTTTGTGAATTACTTGAACCACTACAGCATCTAAGACTTGATCTAAGGGGCAGGCTACTTGAGGGTGATCAAACCTGTTTTATTTTTTTTTATTTATTTTTTTTACTAAAGACCAGTAGTTAATTTTAACCCGGTCACTAAGGTTGTATTTTAACATTTTAACGTTTTATGAATGCTCTGTTGTATTTTGTAACGGCCAATGGCTAAATACAATAAATTACTACAGCAGATTGGCTTCGGTGAGTGGCTGCTGTTGAACAGTACCAAGCAGCCAGGCCTGGGCGGTAGCAACTCACCCAATGGTTACTGCCATGCCTTACGTGTCCTCCCTCAAAGGCCAAAACAACCCTGGAAATGGCCCTGCTCCCTACACCTGCCTTTTACTGATGGAACCAAGGCTTGAAGACTTGCAGTGCTATTGTGGTTGCCTACCAAAGGCCACTGAGGGGCATTTATTTCTTAAAGCTACAGGTGCTGCTGCTATTATTTGGTGGGGGTTAACCCCCCCCCCCATTGTTTTGTAAGGTTTCAGATTTTTCTACAAACCTGCGGTTTGTTCAGGCTTGTAGTAAAATCTGTCTTGTCTGTTCACGGCTCTGGATTTCAGTATTCACAGATATGGCCACGCTGAAAATTAGATAAATTGATTTCTCTACCATTCTGAAGGTTTTGTCCTGTATTTCCAAGTTCAAATGACGTGTCACAGTACAGTAAGCAACAAAGAACCTGAGAGAGCGATGTATTAGCTTCCAGAACCAAAAGTTCTCTATTAATGCTGTTTTCCAATATGGAAGGGCAGATTAACTACTGCTCTATTTATCCCTAGAAAAATCAGCATACTTAAAGGAACCAAAAGATCCTCACAAGTAGTATGCAAGACCGTCTCACATCACAGGGCCTTAAAAGCTGTTTCACATTTTGCATGAGAACTCCAGTAGTACTTTCTTGCAAGATTATGACAAAGCAACAACACTTCCTTTCACTCTTAGTAGTTCACTATTTTTCAAAAGACTGGAACAGCCTCTTCATCAGAGAAGAAAACTGTCCACTCACACTCACAACACTTCACTGTTTTGACTAGGGATCCCAAGTCCCCCCGGGGGGCGGGGAAACCCCCGCCCCAGAGGCCCGTCCCCCGGCGCCACCGGATCGGGCCCGGGGGGGAACTCCACCCCGATGTGTGCGTCACCCAGAAGTGACGCGGGCACGCCAGGGTGACGCATTCTGGAACAGAATTCTACCGGGGCCACGGCCATACAAGAGAAAACTCTATGGTTTTCCCTTGTATGGCTGTGGCCCCGCCCCCAGCATGCCTGGCGTCCTCCCGTCACTTCCGGGTGATGTGCGTGCGGCGCGCGCATGCACAAGACACCGGTTGGGAGCCCCCCGCTCCCAGCGAAGATACACTTGGCAACCCTAGTTCTGACAGCTACATTAGCTGGAGGTTGCCTTCTCAATAGTCTAAAACCTATTTCCCATTCCTGAGATAAAGCAAGTTCTTGAAGGCTAGCAGCTCGTAACTTGTCTTTTGTCTTTTCAAGCTCAGTTTAGCAACATTCCCAAAAGGTAGAATTCTGTTCCAGAATTTTAAAACTGTTAAGGCAGGGGGAGGGGGGGGGAGAACCCTGAAGATTCCCCCCCTCACCATAGGGATGGGGCAGGGAAGAGTACAACTTGTTTTGCAATGAGGATCTCATATTTCACATAGCTAAAACCACTTGAGAGAGTATCATTTATATTATTAGCATATTGTCATCATCAACCCAAAGAGTGCTGAGCTGCTGCAAAAGGTCATGTTCTCTGGGTTTTTGTGAAATTGTTACTGTGAATCTTGACAATACAGAAAAAAGGGAGCTGAGATTCTGTTTAACCTGGCACACTTTTTACTTGTCTTCTTATGCCTTGTCTTCAAACAATTTTTTTTTTTTTGGGGGGGGGCTCATATTTCACCACCAAACTTTACAGCCTTCTCTTTCATTGTTGGGTAAGTGATCCAAGCTATCACAGTTATTAAACACAGAGCAATTACTTACGTATTGCACACTGCCATGGTCTGACATGACTCTCCTGTACAAAATTCAGATATTGTACTATACTGTAAATTGATGTGATGGAAAAAGGTTGTTGCTGAAAGAGAAAAGAAAAAAGTCCAAGGTGTTACCATTACTTTGCAGAAAATGATGATGCTAAATCATGTGGGGTTTTCAGAACCAGACCAACTACAATATTTCTTAGATCCTTAACAGATCTTTTTTTCTAAGTCATGAATCATTGCAAAGGATAGGGTGTGGATAGGTGATATACAACAGCTAACAAGACAAGACTGTCATGCTATGCTGAACATACTTTATCATGGTATTTCTTTACTTTTTTTACTTTACTTCTTACTGTTTTTACAACCTAAGTCATAAACAGCAAACCCTCATCCAACAGGAGGAGAACCTAAAAGTTAGTTATCATGTAACTTAGCAATTGCTGCCAAAGTTTTTGCCACACAGAGTACTTGTCTATCTTTGTCACTGAGTAGCCAGGATGAATTAATTTCTGCTATCGCAGAAAAGCGTTCAAATAATGGTGGACACAAATCCAATAACCATTTTGATTCAGGTAGCAATGTCTGGTGCCATATCCTTCTACTCTTTTGATTCGATTAACAGGGGCCGGCTTTGGGAGAAGCTCACACAGACCAATGTTGATAAGAGACTACTGTTCCTCATTTGCGAGCTTTACTCAGATACAGTCACAAGAATCAGAGTAGGCATATCACGTTCACTGACTAAGGAAATCCCAATAGAGACGGGAATAAAGCAAGGCTGTGTCTTAGTCCCATTACTCTTTAACCTTTACATAAATGATATTGTTACGAAGTTATCTGGACCAGAATGTGTTGCGCCGACTTTAGGCCATCAGAAAGTGTCAGGGTGGTTGTATGCGGACGATATGGTCCTAATTTCGTTAACAAGGAATGGTTTAAAGAGACTGTTAGACAACTTGGGTGATTACTGTAGAGAGGAAAAACTGATATTTAACTATACAAAAACTAAAACAATGGTATTTTGGAAGAGACCCCCCCAAAAAAAGCAACCACTGGAGTATACAAGGCACAGCTATTGAACAGTGCAGGACCTACAAGTGCTTAGGTCTAACTTTTAGTGAGACCCTGAAATGGGATGCCCATTTAAAGCTAATAAGAGCTTCAGTGCTCAAGACAACAGGTAGGGTTGCCAAGTGTATCTTTGCCGGGAGCGGGGGGTGCGCACCGCACGCACATCACCCAGAAGTGACAGGAGGACACCAGGCACGCTGGGGGTGGAGTTCCCCCCGGGGCCCGATCCGGCCGCGGGGAACGGGCCTCTGGGGCGGGGTTTTCCCCGGCCCCCGGGGGGACTTGGGATCCCTAACAACAGGACTAATAATGAGATTTTACTGTATTAGAGGTGGCTTTTTGATTGCACTGGCTATAAAGCTTTTCGTTTCTAAAGTGATCACGTATTTGCTGAGATCTGGGGATGGAAAGAATCATTTCTTAGTAATCTGGAAACAGTCCAATTTTTTTAATGAGACGTGTCTTAGCCCTACCAAAAGGGATACCAGTGGCCTTGTTAAGGGCGGAACTTGACCTCCCTTCGGTTAGAGCACTCATTCATTTGGCAACTCTAAAAGTTTGGAAAAAACACCAGCCAATAAACCCTGGTTCCTGCAGCAATTTGAGCTACCAAATGATGCGAAACATAGATGAAACCCGGCAGCCCTTCCTCAATAACACTGCATCCCAATATACTATTCCAGATGAATTTTTGCAATCTTTGGGAAGCAACGTTGATCTAAGGAAATGGATTTATAAAGAAGATGCCCTAATTGACAAATTTTTAACCAGAAAATCAAAATTTGCTCCATGGTACAAAACCATCAAAAATATCATCGTAGAGTGCGTTGACTGAAATTACAACTTATCAACTCAGGATAGCACTCTCATCATTACATTTCCAGTCAATGACAACTGAGATGCTGCTCAGAAGTTGTTGTGTTTTTTTTTAAACCCTGTAGATCAGCATATATGTATCTGTGGATCCTCGATTGAGGACCTGCCACATTACGTTTTTAAATTGTCTCATACTCAGAACCAAGGGAAAGATTTCTCGTCAATATATCGTCTGGTCTCCATCCTCTTTCGGACTCTGATAAATTAATCTCTATGTTGTCAGATACAGATTCTTTTGTTTCCAACAGGATGGTACTTTTTGTTCTAGCTGCCAGGAAAATAAGAGCAAATGTAGCAACTAGGAAGGTATCAACCGATACAGCTTCTGCTAGTTAGTTTGTTAGAAATTATCAGATTTTAAAGTTAAGTCTTAGATAGTATGTATTATATTGCTACTAGCAGAAAAGCCCGTTGTGAAACCGATACAACGGGATCTAGAAAGATGTGGTCTGTAACGAACGCATAGGCTGGATGGTGGTAAGGTAAACAGTAGTGGGTGAGGGTGGGAGGGGGTGGGGGAACGGCGGCGGCCGGAGGCCTCTGCATCCCGTTGCCGGCCCTGGAGTGAGTGGGGGGAAGGGACCCGGCCTCCAGTTGCCGGCCCAGGAGTCGGTGGTGGGGGAGGGGAAGGGAGCGGGCGACCGGAGGCTTCTGCCTCCTGGAGCCTGGAGAGGGTGGGGTTTGCAGAGGGGTGGGACCTCAGACAGGTAGAATGCCATAGACTACACCCTCCAAACCAGCCATTTTGTCCTGGGTAACAATTGCTGCCAATCTCCAGGTGAGGGCTACAGATCACTCACAATTACAACTGCTCTTCAGGTAGCAGAGATCAGTTCCTCTGGAGAAAACAGTGGACTCTGTCATTATACCCTGCTGAGGTCACCACAGCAAATTGACACTGTTTGCCCAAAGCCAGAGCACTCCCCCAGAGCCTCTTTCTAGATCTCGTTGTATTGCTTTCACAACGGGCTTTACTGCTACTATATATATAATTTCTTTATTTGTATTTAGGACATTGAACACACACATAGACCAAAAAAGCAAAAAGAAAAAAAGAAAAAACATTGTGAGAAACAAAAAACACAACAAAACAAACACACATTCATACAATTCCAACTTCTTTAACAAAATCTGGTTGCAGACATATTCCAACTTTTCTCATAGTATAGCCATTCTATTTATTATAAACATCCGAATACTACTCTATCTTTACACGCATCTATTCATAGTCATTCCTCGTTTATTTAGCCAAGACTGAGCCAGTTTCTCTCATTCAACCACCTATAAAAATTAAACCAATATTTATCAAAATTTTCATATCCTTTATCTTGTAAAATAAATGTTAATTTCTCCATCTCTGCCACTTCTAATATTTTGGCAATCACATCTTCTCTGGTAGGGGTTTCCTCATTTTTCCACTTACTAGCATATGTAATTCTGGCTGATGTGGTAATCTGCATCACTAAATAAGTTTCCTTTTTCTTAAGTGTATCTGGTATGAAATTTAATAAAATTTAATAAAAAACATTCCGCACAGTTGCCTGAGGTGGCAGGTGGACACACTGGCTAGCTCGTGCTCCGGCAGGGGCCACGTGAAGAAGGCCCCGACTTTATAACTGGCCATCTCTAGATAAAGCCTGCTAGATTTGAGTACACAGGGGCATCTTAGACACCAGCAAGTTTGGGGGGGGGGATGAGCTTTTGAGAGTCCAAGTGTCAGCAAGCTGCCATGGTGTTCTGTGTTACTGGTACCTCGGTACAGTTGTTCCCCCCCCTTAGCCTCTGCGCTGTTATGTTATCCTGCTGGTGGAAGGACTCAGCAGGTATAATGTCATAGGGTCTACCCTCCTAAAGCAGTCATTTTCTCTAGGGGAACTGATCTCTGTCATCTGGAGATCAATTGTAGCAGTGGGAGATCTCCAGGTCCCACCTGGAGATTGGCAACCCTAGGGGAAAGTCAGCTGCACAGCAGGGGGTTGAAGAGAATGGTTTGATGGCTGCTGGGCCAAGATTGGCAGCAATAGTTCCCCAGAAGCAAATGGCTGGTTTGGAGAGTGGAGTCTATGGCACTGTACCTGTCTGAAGTCCCCCTCTCCGGGCTCCACCCCTCAAATCTCCAGGAATTACCATACCTGAAGCTGGCAACTTTATCTCCTCCCCTCTCAGCAGCCTCTTTCTAGGCAAAAATCTGTCTTTCTCATTAGCGGGGGAGCAAATCAGCTTACTTCATTCTCTTTGGCTTTGCGATCTGTACAGCAACACTGTAAGGTTGGTTTGGCAGAAAGTCTGTGGCTGCTCTGAAATCACCCAGGCAGCTTCCATTCCAACTGCCTTGCGGGGGGGGAGTTTGATGTGTGGAATGGAGTGAAGTCCAATCAGCTTCCATATGCAAAAGACCTTGAAGGTTCCATATGCAACTGAAAATTCCAACTGCCTTGCGGGGGGGAGTTTGAGGTGTGGAATGGAGTGAAGTCCAATCAGCTTCCACATGCAAATGACCTTGGAACGCTGGGCGGGACTGCACAAAGCAGCCAGTCAACCCAGCCAGTGTGTTCTGAGTGGCAGACCCACCGGCCTAACACTAAGGATGTGAAATTTAGAACGTTCATATAGAACTTTCATACTCAATTATAATAAGGGAGAGATATTTTACTGATGTATTTTACTGTTATGTCTGTAAGTACATTTTATGATAAATGATATCAGATTGTGAAGGCCTATGGCCATATACAATACATTTTCTACCTACCTTCTTATTTTGAACATATGTAGAAAAGCATCCACAAACACCTTCAGATTTTCAACCTTGTAATGTAGAAATGGTCACAAACAAGCCTGAGACACACAAATTGCAGAGGCAGCCCTGGGAACTGACTGATACCTGTCTCTCTGTACCCACATAATAAAGACTGGTTTTCAAGGCTGTTTTATGTTTGTTTCCAAAATATTAATAGCAAAATTTCTCATGTCTTAAAGGCACTGTAATAGCTTCAATATAAAGGAATAGAAGCTATTTAATTCTCTCTCCTTGCACCATTTTTCCTGCTTTTTTTTTCTGCTGAAAACTTCCATTCCTGAGTGGCATTTACCTCCACATTGGAGAAAGCATGGAGGTACTTGCTTTAAAAAACTGTCAGGATAAAGAGCTTTACGACATGCAGTGTTAAGCTCTGACCTGAGACCTGCCTGAATAATTAGGCAACTGTTATAGATGCTGCTAAAGGATGCTACTAAATGCTACAGATGCTACTAAAGGGTGCCGCTCTCGAAATTCAGCACATAAGATAAGCTAGCACTTTGCACCTTTTCTCACATTTACAGAGACATCTTTAAATAAGACAATAATTTCAGTATTTAGGCCACTAGTTCCAAATTACAATTGGGGTAAGTTAAGTCAGCATATTTTAGCAATATTTTTAAAGGAAGCTAAAGGTGTCTTCACATACCACTAGAGCATCTAACATATTTTGTAAATAATGGAGTATTTTTCCTTTGCTGCACATAACTTTTGCATCATTCAACAGCAGATACCCAAATTCAAATTCCTTTTAATTAAGAAAAACTACTAGCATGAAAAACTACGTAGCAGTTGAATTTAGTTGTTAAAATGCCATAATACTTACTGTTGCTGGCTAGCCACTCATTAAGATCTATTTCACGTGGTAGCATGACTAACTCTTTGAATTCGAAGTCAGTAATTCTGGACTTTGTGTATTCTGGGTCTAGGTAGAGTTTCTTTTCTTCTGGTGCTGGCTTTTTACCATTTGGTTTTCCTTTAGATTTTCTGCAAAAGAAAAAGGAAACATTGACATGAATCACAATCAGACAAGACAGTTATCCAAATTCACTCCTTTATA